CGTGCCAGGTCTCCGCACCTCCTATGTTTCTTGCCCATTAATCATCGGATTTGTCACCGGTACAATTACACCCCAGCACAGATCTGGGTTTAGGGTTTCTTGTTCTTCCCCTCGGTGTTAACAGTCCACTGTGGAGTTGTCTTGAACACCCCCCCCCCCAGCCATAAAGTCTATTGTGTGCGACCCTGGTGGGGTGGAGAAAGTAAACAGGTTCCCGCCCGGCCGCCTGTGCCATCCAGCTAGCTAGCCAGCCCAGGCTGCTCTCGGGATTGCTGTTTTGGCGGCTCAGCTGGCCAGTCCCGGGACAGTGTTTGCCACACTGATAATTTGGAAACCCTGTCTGTTCTTTCTCCATCCTGTCTCAAGAGAGCGAACGCAATCCTGGACATTTGTAAAAGTTGGTGGTTTTCGTTTTCGCTCCTCCGAGCCTAGCAGGAGGAGGAAAGTACCGTACATAACTACCGGTCTAAGCATTGTTTCTCTGTTCTTTCCTTCCACACAGAACATTACAAACATCACTGGTTCCCAGAAAAGCCGTGCAAGGGATCAGGTTACCGTTGTATTCGCATCAACCATAAGATGGATCCTCTGATTGGACAGGCAGCCCAGCGGATTGGACTGAGCAGTCAAGAGTTGTTCAGGCTTCTCCCAAGTGAACTCACACTCTGGGTTGACCCCTACGAAGTGTCCTACCGAATTGGAGAGGATGGCTCCATCTGTGTGCTGTATGAAGCCTCACCAGCAGGAGGTAGCACTCCAAACAACAGCACCAACGTGCAAATGGTAGACAGCAGAATCAGTTGTAAGGAGGAACTTCTCTTGGGCAGAACAAGCCCTTCCAAAAACTACAATATGATGACTGTATCAGGTTAAGATATAGTCTATGGATGGATCATCTTATAATGGATGGATAAATTTGATTTTTTGCTTTGGGTGGGCTCCTCTTGGGGATGGATTATGGAATTTAAACCATGTCACAGCTGTGAAGACCTGGCACAAGATAGAGTGGTAATAATTTTTTTTTTTTTAAGTGACAGTGCCATAGTTTGGACAGTACCTTTCAGTGATTTAAATAGCCTGTGAGTCCAAGTAAAGGATCACTTTAATTGCTAGGGAGTGAAGTCACAGGGTGGTTTCAGTTTCTCCCAGACCTTATACCCAATTTGTCACATCAGTCGATTTAAGGAAAAACCTGTATTTCGAAGAACCCTCCTCTGCAGTCCATCTCGCAGGGGAATTTGCACTATTACACTTGAAAGTTATCAGTAACTTTTTTTGGCAGCTCAATAGGGAAGCTCAATGTTTTAAGCATGGTAGTACTGGAAATTTTACATGGAGACTTTTACCTAGCACTTACATGTATAAATGTACATAAAGACAAACTAGTACGCATGACCCGGGGAAAATGGTCAGACCTTGTATTGTGTTTTTGGCTTTGAAAGTAGCAAGTGACCAGACTCTGCCGTGGCAACAGGCTTTTAAAAGACCCTTAAAAAAGACACTGTCTCAACTGTGGTTGTTAGCACCAGCCAGCTCTCTGTACATTTGCTAGCTTGTAGTTTTCTAAGACTGACTAAACTTCTTATTTTTAGAAAGTGGAGGTCTGGTTTGTAACTTTCCTTGTACTTAATTGGGTAAAAGTCTTTTCCACAAACCACCATCTATTTTGTGAACTTTGTTAGTCATCTTTTATTTGGTAAATTATGAACTGGTGTAAATTTGTACAGTTCATGTATATTGATTGTGGCAAAGTTGTACAGATTTCTATATTTTGGATGAGAAATTTTTCTTCTCTCTATAATAAATTGTTTCTTATCTTGGCATTTTAACCAATCTCTTGTCATGATTACGGAGGTTCAGATAAAAAATGTTTTTCTCAGAGGTCTTAGGTTTGTAAGCTATGTGAATGTCACTTGCACACTGGTCACGCAGAAAAACACTTTGGGTGAGGAGTGAAGGTGACGATGTGTCCCATTAGGTGTCAGAAGAAACAGGAGTAAGGCTTTTATTTTATTTTATTTTATTTTATTTTTTCACCTCAAGTTAAAAACATGGACACATTCACAAACTAATGATGTCATGAAATGAGGATGACAGACAAAGGTACCCTCTTCCAAAAGTGATGCCACCCTAAGGATCATGAGTCACTGCTTCCTGGTGAAGTGAAGATAGAAAAGTTCCTCTCTGGCCCACCTTTGGCAAACAATTATTTTGCCCCTTGGATTTGTTCCATTAGAAAACCCTGGGGCAGGTGACCTATAGTTTTAAAGAACAGGCTAAGGCACAGCACAGAGATCTGTTGCTTATGCTTTTCATCACCTGCAAGATTTACTAAACCCCTAAGCTGGAATTCGACAACAGGTATGTAAGATGAACTTCTTTTCTCAAAAGTTGAAGCACAGCTCCCAGAGTCCCTGTTTTTATAGCAAGGAAAATTGAACGCTGCAGTGCAGGTTGGTAATGCATACCTCATGGACAAAGATTTGCTAATTTGGGGGGTTCTGGGGATTTTTTTAAAAGGTATTTGGTGGAAATTGAAAGCAGAAATTTGAGTTCTGCTTTACAGTTAAACTAACTGGGTTGGGGGAAGGGCAGTGGTACCTGTAAACGTGTTAATTCTGGGAGTAAATTAATGAAGATTAAATTGCTGAAAGTTGTGGTCTTAAGGCAGTAGTGCAAACAAAAGTGAAGGTTTTCTTTTTTAATCTAAGATTAAAATTTTCTGATATTTTTATCAGTGATTCAGAAGTACACCACTTAAACATTCCCAGTATTTAAGAATACGAATGATACTCATACACTTTATTAGCAGGCCATTTAGGGAAATTTTAGATTTTGTTTTCTGAGATGGTCTTTTGTGTAGCTCAGGCTGGCCTCCACTAGGTCTTCCTGCCTCAGCCTTCAGAATGTAGGCATCGCAGGTGTATGTTACTCCTCCACCCCCCATACTAGGAGTTCAGATTCTTTGTGTTTCTACAAAATAATGGGTCTCATTATGACATTCTTTTCGTACACGTATTTTATCTAGTGCTTTTTTCTGAAAGACCCCTCGTTATCAAACTTGAATTTGAACACTATGCTAAATTATAGTTTAAAATGGGTCTCACCCTACTGCTGGCCAGTAACTCCTCAGTTGCTATTTTACTGGTAGGGCTTTGCCTTAAGACTCTTGAGACCTAAGGCAAAGAGGATGACCCTTCAGACAGTTCAGGTCTATCCTGAAGACCTAAAATTTCTTCATCCTAAATGACATGGAGAACTGTTTTTGATATTGCTATCAGACTTCTTGCTACTTGAAAAAAAAATAGCCTAACAAAACTGCCTTTTAGAATTCAAGGGGTGTCTGGCCTGTAAGGCATGCAAATCTCAGACCTACCTAGCATCCAGCTGCTGCTTCCTGTGGCTCTAACCTTCCATTCCCCAGACAACTGAGCAGAGCCTGTGTCTGCAACGCAGTAGCTGCCTGATAGTTCCTGCTCACTGCTTCTGGCCAATGTTTGGCTTTAGCTATTTTGACAAAAAAACCCTTGAGTGTCTCCTGTGCATATCTACTGGTCATTTATGCCAGGTTGTTTTTAAGAGTGGTATAATTTTAAAAGGTTTACACTGCCTAAATTAAAAAAAAATAGTCATTGGAGATCCTCTTAAAAGATGATTATTAAAATTGGGAATTCATAGTTAAGATTATAAGTTTCAGGAATGTTATTTTACAAGTTTTAATCTTTTTCTCCAAAACTAAGTTGTGTTTTGCTTTGTGATCCTACAAGCCTTGACATGTTTATGTTTTGTTTTGAGACAGGATGTCGTGTAGCTCAAGGCTGGCCTTGAACTTGCTGTGTAGCCAAGGAAGACCAGAAATTCCTGATCCTCCTGTCTCCACCTGAGATTACAGTTATCTACCAGGGAGCCTGGTTTGATGTGGATTGGAGGAAAAGTTATCCTAGAGATAAAAGGATATGACTGTCCCTTATGTTATCTTTACCTTTATTGGAGACATTTCTGTAATTACAGGCTGGAAAGGCCATTTCTAACAGAAAGTAGCTTTCTGTTAGAATTGCATATGAGGTTTCTTTATGTCACTGTAACTCACCCTTTGGCAAGTCCTTTTGGTTTTTGAGACAGGGTCCCACTGTGTATGTTTTACTGGCTTGGAGCTCTATATGTAGACCAGGCTGGCTTGGAATTCTGAGATCTACCTGCTTCTGCCTCCCAAATGCTTGGGATTAAGGGCTTGCACCACCCCTCCTGGTAGTCACTTTGGTTTTGTGTGGGTGTGAAGTATTATGGGATTGAGCTTCACAGTCCAAGGAAGAGAACAGTGGTCCTGAGGTTCATGTTGAATGATTAAAGGTCTCTGGCTCCCCCTCTACTTTAGGCCTAAATATACAAGCTGCTAGACTCTCCATTAACATTTTTTGAGACTTCCTCGTTACAAATTTAACAAGCTGCATTTTGCATGTGAAAGTTCAAAGAAACTTTTGGTGCCTGTGGCTTTCAGATAGGGTGCTTTTTGTAAGCATCAGGGCTTAATTTTGCCAATAGTTTTAGGAAGCATCTGCACCAGAAACTGCAAAGATTTAATTACCTGATGGAGAGCATGCAGAGCCTAAATGCAACCCGCCTTTTTGACATCTACTTCCTTTATTTTTGTGTTTTGAAGGTAACAGGATTAGAAAAGTCTTTTAGAATAAAATGGCTTGTGTTACAAATTGAAATGCTGTGTCAGCCAGGATTTGAGACTTGTGTAAACCAGAGAAATCCATGTCAGTAGTCATTTCTGGTTGTATTTTTAGCTTATACTTAGGTGACAAAACATTGCTAAGGTGTTGCTTTTTGTTTTTGAGCTGCCCCTAGGTAAGTAAGTCTATTAGCTGTGAGGGTGGATACCTTTTTTTTTTTCTCCCCATTTGTGGAGTATTAACACCAGTGTTTTGACTGCAGTTTTAGTTTGGCTTACTAACTTTATTGCTTAGATTGACAGATAGGAATTAAAAAAATAAACTTATTAGAATTGTATTTGCTTTTCTTTTTTTGAATGCTTCCAATCCATCTTGTGTGTGTGTGTGTGTATAATTTTTTTTTTTTTTTTTTTTTTTTTTGGAGACAAAGTTTCTCTTTGGCTTTGGAGGCTGTCCTGGAACTAACTAGCTCTTGTAGACCAGGCTGGTCTTGAACTCACAGAGATCCGCCTGCCCCTGCCTCCCGAGTGCTGGGATTAAAGGTGTGTGCCACCAACGCCCGGCCCTTGTTAGATAATCTTAAAGGAACATTTTGGCATTCAGTTTCTCAGCCTTCACGCTGAGAAGTTCGAGTGGTCACAAGGAATACCAATGTCAAAGAATGATTTGAATCAGCTAAGGTTCATACAAAGGGAAATAGAAACTGGGGGACAACAGGTAAAGGTTTAAGTGACAATGCCTTTTAGGTGTGTCTTGTGTGCTCAACAATCTTAGCTGTTTGGGAATCTGTGGGGAGTAATACACGAACCCTAGGCAAAATTTGAACTGTTTAAATGTGTAGTTTAAAGTGACATTACAGGTTATTGGACCTTCATGGAAACCACCCTTGAGGAATGTGTAGATAAGAAACATAGACTACGATTATGGGTATTTTAAAAAGAAAACAAACCATATCCCTTTTATTTATTAGTAGTTTTATTTATTAGTAGTTTGAAAAAGCACTTTTAAAAAGCTCTTTATTAAAAACCAGTTAACAATCCCATCATCTTCTCTTCTACCCTTAGATACTAAAGGCTATTTGTGACCTTATTGTTGGTAGTTCAAGGATGATTAACTGTAGACCAGACCTACAATATCAGCATAAGAACTACCAGGCAGGAAGAAATGGTTGAGTTTGTTGGGTTCCTGTGTTTGGAGACTAGCTTCAAATTAACATTCACAGAGGACACTCACCATGGCTACATTTGTCTTTAGTGAGTCTTTCGATGGTTGCCTCATAGCTGATAACATTCTTGAAAATATTTTTGTGGTTTTCATGTGTATTGATGGGGACTGTGTGGAAGTACTCTGGGAGGAAGAGGCAGGCGGGTCTCTGCTGAATTGAGGCCAGCCTGGTTTACAATAGCCAGTTCCAGGTCAACAAGGGACTATACAGTGAGACCTTGTTTCAAAACCACAGGAACCAAACCTATGTCATAATCTCCGTAAGCAAACAAAAAACTGAACATTTTATTGCTGGGTCTATGATCAACATACTCTTCAGCTCTTTTTTTTTTTTTTTTTTTTTTTTTTTTTTTCCTAGATTCTCACGGAAGCAGATGAAGTATTTGCTTTCCCAAGAATAACTTAAAAATTTTGACATTTGTCCTTTAAGTGGCAAGTCATTCACAATGAACTATTCGAACAATACGACAGGGGTCACCTAACATAATTTTAGTTCATTTGCATATATCATTGTTTATATTAAATTTAGTCATGTTTCAGCCAACAGATACCCAAAATGGTTACTGCTGATTCAAAGTCTACCCCTCTATATTCAATTGTGTATCACAAAAGCTGTCAGGGTCTTTGTAACATTGCTAAGAAGGCTGACTTAATGAAGACAGAGCTGGGCTTAATTATTTCTAGCAGTCACACTGTAGCCAGAAGTCTCTGTACTTTTTTCCTTTTGATCTAAGCCATTCCCACATTTTTTGGAAAGTAAGATGACTAACAAATAAATGGACTATTTGAAAAGATTCCATAAATGGGCATAAGTCTAAATTAGTTAGACATGACAGTTACACTGTAAACTAGATTGGGTTTATTTTGTAGTTCTCATTCATGGCAAGGTTGTACCCTTAAGTCAATAAACTAAATGAATTGGTACT